GTCACTTTAGCCTATTCAAGTCTTACAATACGAAGGACGATTGGCTCTTCAAAAGGTGGAAATAGCCATTTCTAATCAACAGATATTTTATTTTGACTATCAGAAACCCTTAGAAGCTTTTATTTTTCTAACCAAACATTCCCCTACAGCTGTTTTGTGCCAGGATGCACCTTTGTTATGGCTTCATTTATCTGTTTCACCTGCTAAAAATTTACAACCTTATTATGAAGCTGTTGCACAACTTATTCAATCAATCCGATGTAATGCTCGGAAATATTTTGGTTTGGAACCTTCCAATATTGTAATTCCCTTTACAGGAAAACAGCTAGATTGGCTGTTTCAGAATTGTGATTCTTGGGCTATTACATTTGCACATTTTTCAGGTCAAATTAAATTTCATTATCCACCTAATAAATTGTTACAATTTGCAAATCTTCAATCTTTTATTTTTCCAAAAATTATTTCATTTAAGCCTATACCTGATGCCATTGTTATTTTCACTGATGGGTCTTCTAATGGAAAAGCAGTTTATGTTATTGATGGTCATGAAAGGATTTTTTCCACACCTGCTGCTTCGGCACAAGTAGTTGAATTGCATGCCATTCTTTTTGTTTTTCAGGAATTTGCTCGTGTTTCTTTTAATCTATATACTGATAGTCAATATCTGGCTAAAGCCCTTCCTTTTTTAGAAACTGTGGCCTACATTAATACCAGTAATTTAGAAGTTCAACAACTTTTCATTCAAGTACAAAATTATATTCATGCTCGTTCTCTTCCTTGTTTTATTGGACATATTCGAGCTCATACTGTTTTACCTGGTCCATTGTCTTTGGGAAATCATCTTGCTGATGTTTCCACAAAATTTATTGCATTTTCAAAAATTGATTTAGCTCGCCAATCTCATCAACTCCATCACCAGAATAGTCGTACTCTTAGATATCAATTTCAGATTCCTTGAGAAGCTGCCCGACAAATTGTTAAACAGTGCTCCACTTGCCCTCAATTTTCTTCTGTTCCGCATTATGGTGTTAATCCTCGAGGTCTGCTTCCTAATCAACTATGGCAAATGGATGTTACTCATGTAATGGAGTTTGGAAAACAAAGGTATGTACATGTTGTTGTTGATACTTTTTCAGGATTTATTCTTGCTTCAGCTCAAACAGGAGAAGCTACTAAACATGTTATTGCTCACTGTATACATTGTTTCTCCATTTTAGGGATACCTCAAAAAATAAAAACAGATAATAGTTCTGGATATATTAGTAAGGCCTTCAAACAATTTTGCCAACAAATGCATATTGTGCATATTACAGGCATTCCCTATAATCCTCAAGGACAAGGAATAGTTGAATGTGCTCATGGCACACTGAAACTGCAGCTCCAAAAAATAAAAAAGGGGGAGTTATATCCCTCCTCACCTAGAAATTACTTAAATCATGCTACTTACATTCTAAATTTTTTACAAATGGATAAGAAAGGACATTCAGCAGCAGAAAGATTTTGGCATCCACAAGGTTCTCCATATGCCTTGGTAAAATGGAGAGATCCTTTAACTAGCCAATGGTATGGAACTGACCCTGTTTTAATATGGGGCAGAGGGCGTGTTTGTGTTTTCTCACAGAAACATGATGGAGCTCGATGGCTACCGGAAAGGCTGATTCGTCATGTGGATACTCCTGCTGATGTCAGTTCCTGCAAGATGTGATGCCAATCCTCAAGAAAATTGGACTTATATGCCAGATCCTCTCCTCCCACATCCTGTCTCATCTGATTCACGTGAGGTGCCAGTACTGTTGAATAATATAAATATACTTGGTCATTTATAAAGTAGTGTTTCTATGTTATAAAGAAAATGAGACTGCTACATTGAGAAGTTTTTCTGGGACAAAAAGGACATTCCTCGATTGGTCTTTAATCAACACTACCTCAAAGAAGAATTAATTTGCTAGTCTTAGCCTTTCTGCTGGACTTTGGTGGACAGACTCACATTTTCCTCAAATCAACATTTGAAAACTTGCTGCTGCATTGGGAGAAATGTGTTTATGGTCAGATGTCAAAGTTACCAGCCTTAGTTTCAATATTGTTGGCATTGCCTCTAATATAATGTCTTGTGTTAATGCTCCTTATATGTTATTAGTAAAAAGTATAGAGATTGTAATTGAAACTGATAATGAATATAACAGCTATTTTAATTATAAGTTAACCAATTGTAGATCTTTCAGAAATGATGACTTCCTTTCAGTATGTGATGGCTTTGAGTCAACCTCCCTTCATAACAATGTCTGTAAAAACTTAATGAGTCCTGGTATGAAGATCAAGGTTTACAAATGTTGATAGAAATAGAGAAAGCTACATGTCAAGCCTTCACAACCCATGGTATAACCCCTGCAGAGGGTGGTAGTCAAAGACGGGTAAGAGAATTGTGGAGAAATATCCAACCTAAGACAGAGCATAAGTATTAAACTTCTCATGGCTTGATGATGGGTAAGGGATTTCTCTGGACATTTCTCACCTAAGACAGGCACAGTCTTTCTGCTGAGCAGGGAAGCTCCCTGCTCTAAAAATAATAAAAAAGGGGGAATTCTGGGAGCCCATCGTGGCTCTCTGGCATTTGACACTTGAAAGGAAACTTCTTCCTTTACAATGAAGGCATTGATAAAGGCTATATAACATTTGTTACCTTTCAAGGACTCTGTTTGTTAAGCTTATCTGTTACCCTGAGGCGGGAGGAACTCAAAGAGATAGCCAAAGGTTTGGTATCTGTAGAAATCAGGAATTCCTGTTTTTGCATAAGAAATGATGGAGATGATCGCTTGATGCTTCCTGTTAATGTGCCTTTAAGACAAGCTGTTTCGGTAGAAATAAACCAGACTTCTCTTGGTCTCCACTCAGGTGTGAGTGTTCTTTCCTTTCTCAATCCTCACTCCCCGACTCAGGTACATTTGTGTTGTGACGGCTGGGCCGCCACAACCCCCTTGGGATCCAGCCAACCAAGTACTGAAACATGAGCCAAAATAAACCTGTCCTCCTATAAACTGTGGGTGTTGGGTTTTGTGTCCCAGCCCCAGCCCCAGGAAAGTGACTAAGACCCGGGAAGGGCAGGGATGGAGAAGAGGTGGAGAGTTACCAACTTGCCTGCCCACCTCTTACGTTGAGGGGAACCTGACCTTCATTTTGCTTCCAGGGAGACAGTGGGCACCGTCCCTGCCTCCAGCCACCCTGCTGTCCTTACCCCAGCATGGTCAGGTGCACTTCCTGTTATCAGGGAGGATGTGTGCAGAGCGCTGTAGACAAGGAACGTGTGGTGCGGGTTATCGACCTGTCTTCCTCTGCAGCGGAACACAGTGACAGCGGGAGATGTATAGGGTGTCACCGTGGGAAGCACTTTTCTCAACTGAGCTCACTGAATTCTTGCAGCAATCCTAAGAGCTCACGCTCTACTCCAGTTTTACAAATGAGCAAACTGAGGCACTGAGAAGTTAGAGGCTTGTCCAAGACGACACAGGAAGTGAGCAGCAGGGCAGGAAGCCACCTCACCCCTGATGTCGCCGGTACCTAACAGGTGCTCAGTTAAGTTACTGGGTGGGTGCAGATGGCGATCAGCTGTGGACAACAAGAAGCCTCCAGTGGGGAGGAAACCCAAGGATGCTGTGCTGCTCTCGAAGCCTTCAGTTCTTACCCGAATGGTTTGGAAAATACAAAGGGATAATGGCATAAGTGAGAGCAAAGCCAGTGCAAGGAGGTGTAAGCTGGGTGTGGTGGATTGGAGCAGAAATCAATATAACCAGGAATAGATGAAGAAAAACAGATCATGAAACTAAAAGCTAGCTCCTTGAGAAAAAAAAATTTAAACGAAAAGTTAAATCTTTAGCCAGAAAGATCAGAGATTAAAAAGAAAAATAAGGAAAGAAAATCTAAACACGGTGACACATCTATATTTCTGGCTACTCTGGAGGCTGAGGTGGGAGGATCACTTGAGCCCTGGAATTTGAGGCCAGCCCCGAGCAGCACAGTGACAGCCCCTCTCAGGGAAAAAAAAAAAACTGTCAATAAAAGCAAACACTACAGAAGAAACAAAGTTGGGTAATCCCACATCTTTAGGAAACAAGAAGACAGGCTGGGCAGAGGCCCGAGAGGCCAGCAGGTGCCCGCTCTCCTGACCTCTGGGACTGGCTGGATGGAGGTGAGTCGGGGAGCAGAGGCTCGGGCAGTCTGGCCAGCTTGGCTTGGGAACAACTGAGTCCCGAGATCACAGTTGTCCCCAAACCTCAGAGTCACCGATCAAACACACCCGGCTCCTCGGGAAGCGGTGGTCTAACGGCAGGCCACACTCTCGAGCCTGGCACGGCGCCCACGTCGCTCCTCAAGAAGTGCGTGGCCATCTGGTTCCACCCTTGTGGATGTGTCGCTGGGCACAGCTAAGGGCCGACCCCTTTGCACGCAAGGATACGACTTTGGGATGGGTAAAAACATTCCTCTCGTCATCCTTCGGGCGCGCCTTGAGCACCTCCTTCCCTTGGGGGTGCCCCGGGAACCCACATTGCGCAGCCTGGACGCCCTTGCAGGGCGCCTCCCCCGGAACTCTCCGCCGCTCAAGCGTGGGGGGCCAGCGCTGCACAAGCGGCGACTTCCGCGCCCCGTGGCCAAAGCGAGTGTCGGCA